TTTTTTTTTTTTAATTATTATTATTATTATTATCATTAATATTATTTTTTCCCATCTGGCTTTTTCCCCCGGGGGGCTTGCGGTGTGTCGAGGAAGCCGGCGCGCTCCCAGGAGCTGGAATTATTTGCACAACGTCTGTATATTGAGTTCTCGATCCTCTTTTATTTTTATTTTTGAAGCGCTGAGGGGTTTTTGGTTGGATTTCCCTCCCCCCCCTCTCCACACCACGCTTTTCTTGGGTTTTTCCCCCACCACTGTCAGCACCACCTCACCCTCCTCCCGTTCCACCATGGCCCGGATGAACCGCCCTGCGCCGGTGGAGGTCTGCTACAAAAACATGAGGTTCCTGATCACCCACAACCCCACCAACGCCACGCTCAGTACCTTCTTGGAGGTAAGGAGGGGAGACTGGAAAGGGAGCACTGGGGCCCAGATGCGCATTTTGGGGCTAAAAGCTGCCATTGAGGTGCAAGAGGGATCAGTCCTCCGTAGGATGAGGCAGTGGCACGTCCCCTTTGGTACCACAGCCTCAGTGGCTTCCCAGGGCCATGGGTCCCATCAGCACCAACATTTTGGAGGACACCAAGGGCATAGCAGAGATGTAGCAGAGTTTTCCTGTCCCTGTTGAATCCACTGCCAGTACATCCCATCAAGGCGCTTTGAAGTGATGCATGTGGATGCAGATAACTTCCCCTGCATCTCCCAGCACATCAGTAAGGACTTCTAATCTCAAATATCCCGATGTCTTTCCAATGCACAAAGTATGTTGAGCAGTGTGCAGGAGCTGGAGGGCTTGGTGTTGCATAGAATCATAGAATGATTTGGGTTGGAAGAGACCTTGAAGCTCATCTAGTTCCAATCCCCCTGCCATGGGCAGGGACACCTTCCACTAGGTCAGGTTGCGCAAAGCCTCATCCAACCTGGCCTTGAACACTTCCAGGGATGGGGCAGCCACAACTTCTCTGGGCGACCTGTTCCAGTGTTTCACCACCCCTAGAGTGAAGAATTTCTTCCTTATATCTAATCTAAATCTCCCCTCTTTCAGTTTAATGCCATTTCCCCTTGTCCTATCACTACATGCCCTTGTCAAAAGTTCCTCTCCAGCTTTCCTGTAGACTCCTCACATTTAGGTACTGGAAGGCTGCTATAAGGTCTCTTGAGAGCCTTCTCTTCCACAGGCTGAACCACCCCAACTCTCTCAGCCTGTCTACATAGGAGCATGAGCAAGTGATGGTGCCCAGCCTGGGAGCGCTGCCTCCAACACTGGCAGCTTCTGGGAGCTGGAATGGATTAATGGATGGCTGCCCACGGTTCAGGGTGAAAAGCTTCAACGTGCTGTTTTTATCAATGCCTGGGGGAAACACCGTGCCCTGCAAGTTCAGTTGAGCTGCCACAGGTGGCTTCTGCTTACGAGGAGTCATTTGCGGGGGCACCTGGGGCTGCGCGTGATCCTCAGACCTAAACCATGTTGAGGTCCGATGTGCTGGCACCAGCTGCATCCTCCGACTCGAGGAAACCCTCCCCAGTGCGCACCCGAAAAAACACACGTGAGGGCCACCAGCTCGGAGAGCCGCAAGAAGGTGGTTACAATTTGGGGACAGCCACCCCGTACCCTGCACAGTGTGAACAAGGCGTTGGGGATGGCACCGGTGGGAAGGGGGAAAAATTCCCCTTTCCTCCAGCCTCCTAGATTTTTTGCCGAGCTGCCAAGCGCGCAGGGGTTTGCCGTAGTCTGGCGAGCGCACACGAGGAAGGAAGGAGATGGATCATTGAAGGGGATGATCTCACACGGTGCCCAGCGAGGCCGGTATGCCGGCACGTAATCCGGGGGCAATCCGTGCGGCGGGCGATAAGCCACGCTGGAAACAGCCCAAGTCCCACGCCCAAGCCTGCGGCATGTTGGACCGATGACGGGATATGGCAAAGAGGTCGAGAAGCACCCCCAGAACGATCTGTAGGATGCTGAGCACAGTTGGTGGGGTGCGCTGCGACCCCCACAGTTCGGGCTTAAAAATAAATGGCCCCGTAGGCGCTCAGGACTCCAAGGAGTCCTGAAGGTGCTGGGTAAAAATCCTACTGTGGCCATGTGGCTTTGGTGCCCTGGGATTTCATGTTTCCTTGTCCTCCCCATGCTGGATGGACCACGGGGATTTTGGTCAAGGATCCAAAGATGGGGCACAGCGCTGTTTTAGGGTCCATAGTGGTCGTAGCAGGGTTTGGATGTGCTGGGGTTAACTGGGGTGCAACTGGCAGGGCTTTTTCAGACCCCTCCTCCTCCTTCCCTCCCCAGGACCTGAAGAAATATGGTGCCACCACGGTTGTGCGAGTGTGCGAAGTGACCTATGACAAGACCCCCCTGGAGAAGGACGGCATCACCGTCATGGTAAGTGGACAGCAGGGTGGATGCCGGGACGGGGGGTTGCACTTAAATACCCCCATCCCTCGGGTCTGCCAAACACCCCGCTCCCCGGGCCGAGGTGGGGCTGGTGCTTTAAAAAATGAAAGTGCTGCCCACGCACCCGAAACTGTGACTCATACGGTTGAGTCGGCAGCTGCCTTCCCTGCCCCTCACTCCGGCTTTAAAGACTCCAAGGGATGATCCCACGTGGAAGACGCGCGTGGTCCCTGTTACCCTCAGCGTTACCTTATCCGGAGGGCGGGGGGGTTGTGGGATTTTTGCTCTTCCAGCAGCCGGCTGGGGCCGCTCTGGGGGGTG